CACATCTCAAAGAAAATGTAAATCACATTTAAAGCTATGTTATACATGCCATTGGTATAGGGAACGGGTAAGAAACAAATGGAAAAGCAGCTTCGGCAGCTGGAGACAATGTACCCTGTGAAGGCCAGAGGAGTGGCAAAATTCAATGTTCCCTTAGCCCATATGATGATCGCCGGTGCTGATTATATATTGGTTCCTAGTAGATTTGAACCTTGTGGCCTCATACAGTTGCAAGCCATGCGCTATGGAACTGTACATTTCCTACTTGACATATTACTCCATTTCTCAGGATACTCCCAGCTATTCCATATCCCCTGCTCTGCAAACTTAAATTTTTTCTTCCATTTTGTCCTGCACTTTTCTAGGTACCTATAGTTGCCTCAACCGGTGGATTAGTTGATACAGTGAAGGAAGGTTTCACAGGTTTTCAGATGGGTCCCTTCAATGTTGAAGTAATAGCTACCTGCAGTCGAAATTTTTTATTGTGACCATATTAGCATAGTGACTAACTACTTATCGTTTTCGTTTTGGATTTATTTGCTCTAGTGTGAAGCTATAGATCCTGCAGATGTTGCTGCTCTGGCTAGCAATGTCAAAAGGGCCCTTAAAGTTTATGGGACTCCAGCTTTTACAGAAATGATCAGGAATTGCATGGCTCAAGATCTTTCCTGGAAGGTGAGTAAAGGAAGAAATCATGTAGGATCCCAAAAGCTATGACAGATCAAAACTCAGCCATTGAGAAACTACAAGATAAGCGCTAAATTGTCATATTAGCCTTGATTGACCTAATAAGCATGGACGCTAAGCAGAGACAAAAATTGCAGTGCGACAACAAAATTTGCATATTTCTGTTATGTTTGACACGAAAGTCTAATACGTATCAAACAAGAACGGAATTCTTTTCTTGTTAGTGTACGTGCTTTATATGTGTTAACTTTACTGTGTTTCTGAAACAGGGACCTGCCAAGAAGTGGGAGGAGGTTTTGCTTAGCTTGGGAGTTGCTGGAAGTGAACCTGGCATTGATGGAGAAGAGATTGCTCCTCAAGCAAAGGAAAACGTGGCAACTCCCTGAGAATCGCCCAGAAAAGGATCTTAAGCAAGTTGAATGGGGATACTTCAATATATGTCTGCACTCTGCAGGCACAGAGAGAGAGAGAGAGAGAGAGAGAGAGAGAGAGAGAGATGGTCCCCCTCGTTCAGAGGACCTCGCGTATGTTGTCTAATATTGGTTCGTTAGTATATATTGTTCTAGATAATTAACATAGTTGCCAATAATCCATAGAAGACATAAGAAATGTGATTATTCTTTGAAATTGATATTGATGAATTTCTGCAAAGGATTTTTTTTTTAACAAAGAAAGAAAAAATTTTATATTTTATAAAAAATAATAAAATGAAAAAATACTTAAAAAAAACTTCATCTAAATTCATCGATTTCAATTTCAAAGAATTTAAATATTATGAAATGCTAAGTCTAAGGACTAAGCATCTCCCAAACTCTCAAAAAAAAAAAAATAAAATATTTTTAAATTATATAAATAATAATTTGATTTCTTGAAGTATTATAGTTTCATCGAAGTTTTTAAAAATTTTTTTATCATTAATAAATTTATATAAATGATGAAATTATCCTTATAATAATATCAAAATTTTGATATGTGAAATTGTTATTTGTTATTATATTATTATGAATAAAAAAAGTAAAGTAATTATTTAAATAAAATTTATAATCATTAATTATTATTTTTAATACTTGTAATAATACTAGAAATTTGACATGCGAAATTGTGATTTGTTGTTATATTATCATGAATTTAAGAGAAAAAATTGTGATTATTTAAATAAAATTTATGATTCTTATTTGTTATTTCCAACACTTGTAGAAATATCAAAAATTTGACATGCGAAGTTGTAATTTACTATTACATTATTGCAAATATAAGAAAATTATGATTATTTAATTAAAACTTGTAATCATTTTATTTTCAACAAATATAATTTTTTCATTTATATAAATTCATTAATGATAAAAAAGTCTCTAGGAACTTCAATAGAATTATAGTATTTCGAGATATCAAATTATTATTTATATAATTTAAAAAAAATTATTATCATTTTTCAACAAAAAAAAAACTAAACTAAACATGCAATCAAATTTTTTCATGTACTGCAATGCAGGGATCACTCACCAGTTTTTTTTATACTCGATCATTTTAGAAAATCCTCTCAAAAGATGCCTTCATTATATGAACATGTTTACAATCGTGAAAATTTGCTCATCATCTTTTTTAAAATTAAATAATGCATTATAGCTAAACAGATTATGGTCGAAATACTTTCAATGTGTAAATTTAACATATTTTATAACAATAGCAAATAAAATATTGCAAAACAAATATTTGCAATATTTAAAAAATTAATCAAGTATTAAGTGATAAAAATTATAGTTCAATAATAAGATGAGCATAATGTATATATATAGTAATAATTTTTCAGAGAAATTTACACTTGATAAGGATAATAATCAACAGTACAAAATATATAAGAACATATAAATATTGTAACTCATCAAATTTTGTGCAAACACGACACCTACTTTATAGTTTATCCACAAATCTAAATATAAATAAAGTACTTGATACTAAATATTAGGATATAATTAGTATTTGAATTTAATTTAATATATAAAAAAAATAAAAAGTTCAAATTTGTTGATATATACCCAACTCCCCAGCGATGTCCTCAATGGTTAGGTCACATTTTTATTTGCTTTATTAATTCAGTTTACTTCATTGCAACCTCAATTCCATTTGTTCTTTTTTGTTTGGTTGATATTAACAATAATGGAAGCCATACCTTCCCTGTGGGTTCGATTCTGAATACTTCAAGTTATAGTGACCACAATCGAGCCTATGCACCTACCGCACCAATGATGAAGTTGAAGGTTAATAAATATTGGGCAAAAGCAAATCATTGTTATGTGACTTGAGTAAGTTTAAAAGCAGAGTTGATCATAAAAACCTAGCATGTTAGATGGGAGGCTTTCTTTTAATTTATAAACCCTATTTTTCTTGTGGGATTTATTGATGTAGAAGTCATAATAATGTACATGGCCACCTTATTTGAGAATCAACATTTCTAGTGACTCTACTCTATAACATGGTCAAAAATTTTTATAAATAGTTTTTCCATAATATTAGTCTCTCCATAAAAAGAACAATGTTACAAAATCTAAAAGGAGAACTAATTCCAAGTTACTAGCTTATTAGATGAGAAAACTATTTCAATTTATCAACCCTACTTCTCTTGTAAAATTTCCTGATATAATATTTGTAACATGTTCCTAATGATTTATGCAACAAACTTACAATATGAATAGTCTTAAATAACAAACAACGGCATTAGTCAAACTTTATGCAATCATCGTATGAAGCGTAATCATACATTAAAGGCACGGAGTGAAAAGCAAGCAGAACTTCAACTATTATTACCAATTTTAAATAATTTATATGTTTAATTTATTTTGTAAAGCGTACGCGCTTCATTAGATTACAGGAACACGAGAAATAATTTATTTTGCAAAAAGCATAAACATTTCAACTCTCATATTAGATAATTTATATTGCCAATTAGACATCCTCTACCAAATTTCAAGAATGAGTTTAACTATTGATATCTTTTTACTGAAAAATGATCTACAATTTATGAACAATGCACAATGCGATAAATTTTATTCTATATATTGATTGATTGATGATTATTATTTAACATACAATTAAATAATATACACACTAGAGTCTTCCATGCAAAGCTATCTATATATATATATATATATATATTTTACATTGATTGTCTCACATGGTTACATGTCAAATTTAAGTGGAATAGGCCTTGTCCATCTAAACTTGAGCAAGGCTACTCTGCATGTCTATAATCTATAACTTCGTATATTTCATATTGGCACTGCCATTTATTTTACATGACATTCATTCTAGTCTGATACCATCATTTAAAATCATTATCTATTTATTTCTTTTTACTTTTAAAACTATGGACTCAAATTATTTATCGCCCTTTAAGTTGCTTTTTCATTTTCTGGCAAATAAAAAAAGGTGCCTTTTCATTTCGTAATATTTTTTGGGTTCCAATTACATATTTCTGATAAAACAAACCCTAAAATTAGATTTGAAACTTCAATACCGACTTATATACCCCAAAAAAATGAGAACATATCTTCACGGCTTGCCCGCCCGACTCTGAACATACAAAACCAATTCTAGTAAACAAGCTAAATAATCATTTTAACTTGCACTGCGTCCCAAAAACATAACTTGGAAGACGAGAATCAAGGAAGCCACCATCACCAGACAAAACTGAACACCAAAGCAAATTAGCACAGAGTAACAGGTTACAAACTTTTAGCATCATTTTAAAGAAAAATAGACATGACTTTCCACATGCTCCACAAAATACGATAAAAAAAAAATCATACTATCCAAACATCGTGAATAATACAACCTTATGAAGATTTTTTTATATATTTGATTTGATATATTGATTTGGTGACAACTAGGAAACATAAGGCAGATCAAGTTACATAATTTAAAAGGTTCGCTGACCCACTTCGTCGGATAAGGTTTGTTCTAGTTTGGCAAGAGAATAAGTGCACATAACTACAGCAATCCAGCGAAGTGAGTCCTAACATAAGGAACGCAGAATTGAGTTTAAAATGAAATTGGCAATACTAGGCGTTGTACGTGTTGTCACGAACTATTTTCAAATCTGCCCACAGACATGATGCTCTACTTGAATACACTTTGCATGTAGAACAATCAATAAGATATAATCACGTCAATCTGATAACAACAATCGTGTATCATCAGGATCTCCCACCACTAAGCCGTAACAAACAGACATTGAGCCACATTCGAATTTAAACAGCCCAATAAAGAGGACACACATACAAGATTTTCGCGAGAGAGAGAGAGAGAGAGAGAGATCCTGTTTAAATTTTTAAATTGAATAGAAATTAACATTCTCAAATTCAGATCACCGGCACTGCAAACTCAAGATTAACTCATATATTTGTAAGAAACACAAAGGGGCACCTACAAAATCCGCAGAGCTAAAATACCCTTGGAGTGACAAAATAAAAAAAGACCAGACCATACTGAAAGGCCTTGCTAATCAAACAAGCTGAATCCCATGTCATCATCGCTCTCTTCTTGGGGTTCTTCCTGCAAAATTGCAACGTACAATTGCCAATTAGATAAGAATGGCCCGATGACAGAATATGACAATACCAATGCAGCCTTTTCATTATATCTATACCTTCTTCTTCTCCTCAGCAGGAGGAGGAGCCGCCGCAGCGCCGCCACCAGCAGCTGCAGCTGGAGCTGCAACTGCAACTGGAGCCCCACCTCCTCCAGCATTCAATATCAAATCCTCAATGTTTCGCTTCTCAGCGAGTTTAGCGAACAAGCTTGGCCAATAAGATTCAACATCAACATTTGCCGCTTTCGCCAAGGTTGATATCTTCTCGGCCTATTGAAACTAGCTTAAGGAAACACAATCATCATCCACAAAAACACCAAATTTAGTTCCGTCAGAGTCAAAGCTTGACTGGCTTTCTTTTCCCTTTTAATATCACTTCCCGGCATTTGATTGGAATAAAATATCATCAAAAACAAGATAACATTGAGGCCGAAACCACAAAGCGATCCGCTTATTCATTCATTAAGAGCTTAAAATTGGAAACAAGGATACAGTAACCGGAATGTTATCGTCGTGAAGGATCAGAATCGCGTAAGTGCAAGCAACCTCTCCAAGAGACATTTTTAAGCTACAAAACGATGTAATTGCGATGTCAGAATCAACAGGAAGTTACACATAGTGCTCAGGCATAATTGAGTGAAAATGAGTGCAGAAATAGTCATAATTTTCCTGGAACGCCTGGAATTATTTTCCATGAATCAAGCAAGAAGAAGTAACAAACCTCAAGCAAATGAGATCAGTGGAGACTTGCGCCCTGCAGTTTGCCGCTCGGCTGCTAATGTGATTCTAGGGTTTGAGAATTCATGTGAAACGACATTTAACCTAAGATGTCTCAAACATGAAAGGCCCATTAAGAGGAAGGCCAATAGTCCAACCTTCTCGTTTCATGGTCTTTCATTTTTTTTTTACCCAAAACATTTTTTTTTCAAAACAACAAATTGTCCTTACTTTCTTCAGTTTGTGATGTAATTGCTTGGTAACGCTTGATATCAAAAAAAAAAAAAAAAACACAGTGCTTGGTAAAGCTGCTTGGTCCCTCAAAGGCTTCCCCCCAGAAAGAAAGTTTAGGAGGTGCGTATATGTAATTATATATACATGTTAATAAGCATTAAACAACAAGGTGGGATCATTGACCTTGCTTATTACAAACAGGCTTATCATTGGCACGAATAACTAATTAGATTTTAAAAACTGGATTATGTATTGAGTTAAACAAGGCACTGGTTGCAACTTAATGGTTAAACTATAATCATACCAATTACAGTTAAATTAATAAATTTTATATTTTAGACTAATAATTTTATAAAAAAGTTTAAATACTTTTAGGAGAAAATGCAAGGTCAAAGAGATTGTAAAGATAAAACAATTAAGCTACATTGAGCTTAGCATGCATTTAAAAAGGTTAACACAATCACGAGGGACTTTACAGTCAGCACATTGCAATGCTTTTATCAATGAGCATGACAGATCTCAATCTCAATATTGTTATATGTGAGATCATAACTAAAATTGACGATATCTTTTTACGAGTAGTCAGGTTTTCTATCTTTTTTTTAAATTAGAAGGACAAATACTAATGGCATGAAGTTACAATTGAAATTGAACTTATTAACTCTTATTTACAATAAAATTTGCATCCCACTATATATGCTTCAAGGTCATTGCTAGGTCTTCTATCTCTAACCCACTTAAGCCATATAACTTTTATGGGGGAAGCATGTGATGGACTAATACAAGATTCACACGTCACTTGAGTGAAAAATAAAGTTTTTAATTTTAATAGAATTTTTCTTTTTTAAAAAAAAAATTGCCTAGTGTCGTGCTTGTCAAGTTTGGCAGGTTAAGCAAATTTTTCTTGAAAAACATGAATACATGCTTTAAGAAGAAAATTGTTATACACTGTTGATTTATACTAAATATCCAAATATATCATATTAGACAAAGTTTTATTTTTCAAGTTGTAGCTAATAAACAATTTAAATATTAGAATCATAATGTATACACACTGATCTCTTCCAATTTAAAAATAAAAATGACTTGAAGTCTAATATGCTTCATGCGCATACATATTCTAAACAAAGCTTATAATGCTTATACGGATTCATCTCTACGCCATATCCATTAAAAACAAAACAAAACAAAATGAAAACTTCGCAAGCGTGCATGTACATGTGAAAAGCACTTGAAAGGTGCCGACATTCATTGGCTTTAAGAGTAATCCTCCCTCGGATTCCAACTCTTTTGTTTTTTTATCTGAGATCCCATTCCCATTTTACAGAGTAGATAGAGATTTCATTGATGTCAAAGGCAAAAAAAAAAAAGAAAAAAGAAAAAGAAAAGGGCATAATGAAACAAGAAAGCAAACAAATGAAAGATGAAGGGGTACAGGACTGAAAAGCATCCTTTTTTTTTTTGTTGTTGAAATAACTGAAAAGCATCATTATCTGTGAGAAAAGAAACTAATAAAAGTGACATATAACCTTCTATGCCCATCTAATCCTGCCTTATAAAACATGTATCATATATGAATATTAGCCAACAAAGAACTGAAAAAGGATATTACAAGTTAGCAAACTGAGCTATCCAAGCTCACCTTTCCTAGTTGACCAACCAATCAAAGGGTTCAAAGATACAAAACCAATCTTTTTGAACCCATTATAGGACCGTGTCATTGGATGCTCCCTCCATCCAAGACATAATAAGAGTTCAACCAGTAAAATTAGTCTGACGCCTAAGGTAGAATCCAAAGCTCCCAGTTTTGGATTCTATCTCATCATTTAATTAATACAATATTGAATCAATATGATCCTCTCCTGCTTCTAAAAAGTAAAGAAAATAGACAATTCTTAAACCGGACTTGTTTCTTTTGTAATGATGATTTTGGGCTTGAATTGAGGACTCTGATAGATTGATACTAGCTAGTGACTTTTTCTTCTTTTTCCCCCTTTGAGTTTTGAATCAACACAACTTCAAAAGGCTTCCTTTATCTTCCTTCCCTTCTTTATTCTTGACCCGTTTCCCCGTATTTAACCTTGAAGCAGAATGTTATTTCTTCATCCCTCTGTAGAGATTTAAGTTGAAGAGTTCTGCTCTGAAGCTTTTACTGCAGAGACTTGTGAAGCTCCTGCCCCTACTGATGCTGCCACTGATACATTCGCGTTTTACCCTTCAATCAATACTCATGTCTAAATGTACACAAGAATATATATATATATATATATATAAAAGCTACATTATGAATAAACATATTAACATTTTGATTAGATGAGAGAAGTCATTACCTTCGCTAGTGGCTGGCATTGGCATTGAAGAAGAAAATGATGGGACTGGAGGAGAGGCAGTGGCATAGTGGTGTTGATGAAGAAGTGGGAAGTGTACCATTTGAGGATAGTGAACTCCAAAACCATGAACTTGGCCACTCTGTGCATATTGAGTATAGAATGGGTAAATATTACTCATTAACCCTGCTACCCCAGATGCCCCACTGGATGAATAGTATGGTGAAAATTGTTGACCTCCATACACACTATAATAATTCTGCACAAAAATAATGCACCACCGTCGATAATGAAAGATGCCGCAAAATAGAAAGAACTTCAATCCATTTTTAATATACGTTACAACTCATGGTGGAAACATAAGAATGGTTATTGTGCATGAGTATATACCAAGGGATACATGGAGTCTTCTGAATATCCAGCGTATTTGTAACTGGAGCCAAAGAACGGAATTCAGCAGGGAAAACGAGGAACGGAGAACAAATATGGGACAAGAAAACGACATGCAAAAATAAAAAAATGGAGAGACGAGACGACCAAGTCTATCCATATATGGTATGTTTACCCGTAAGCTGAATATGGAAATGTGTATTGCCCAGTGGGTTGACGGCAAATTGTGGGCGAAGAGCCATGATATGCAGGCATGCCCACCAGTTCAGGTGCTGCCCCGAACCTTCCTGCACCTTCAATAATATTAAACTTGCATTTTAACCCTTTTTATCAATGATCAAAAGTTATAGATTACGAAAAACACAGAGTATCAGGTTTAAATTCACTTTTTATAACAGCTACTAATGCTTGTGACTAGACGGCTATTCAAGATGTTCATAACTGTTGCCTAAGGTATGAATAGTGAGGTATTGCTATCATTACTGGCTGTTTATCAGATTAAAAATTCACTGAAACTAAAGGAGCCAAAAAGATATTTAAGCCAAAGAATCATGAAGAAGAGAAGAATGAAAAGAAAAGTAAGGGGATGAATTGAGACCAGCTTGAGGAGTTGGAGGCCGATTCTTGTTTGCACCAAGAGAAGCGAGATTGCAGTTTGCTCTTCTGCCATCAATAACTGGAGAAGGATTCTGACATGCTCGCATGGCTGCTTCCGGATCCTTAAACGTGACCTTTTAAAGAAAGAAACGGAGCAAAACACGCCATGTTGTGTTCAACATTGCAAGACCAATAAAAAAGTAGGAAAGAAAAACAAGCAATAAAACATAGATGGGCTTACAAAGCCATAACCCTTGGATCTCCCTGTGTTCTTGTCTGTGATAACAACAGCTTCAAGGATCTCCCCGAACTGCTCAAAATACCTGCTCATTGTGTCCCTCTGAGTCTCCCAGGCTAGCCCTCCCACGAAGATTTTTGTCAATGTTGTGTCGTTGTATTGCCCTCCCACCATCTGGAATTGCCTTTGTTGCGACATTATCAACATTACACCTCAGAAATCCCGAACAGATGAGAGACAAGCAAAGAGGAAGGAGGACGAGGAAAACCCAGAACAATAATCAATCCAACAAACTCAAGAACCCAGAAAATGTTGAGGGGATAAGTTGTACATATATAAATGTAAAAAGCTGGAAAAGGGGCTATTTGTTTTATAAAGATCACAGCAGTGGGGATAAAAACCGCTCGTGCAGACGCGTGATTCTGTTGGTTTCTTAAAGAAATGGGATATTTGTTGAGGCTAAAAATGAAAACTTTTTTTCACATCATCAACGATTCAACAACCACCCCACCTCAGATTCCTCAACTACGATGCCCTCTAACGAGAAATAAAATCATTACTGTTGAGGGGGAACGGGAGGGAAAGGAGGGGGCGGGGGAGAGAGAAAGAAAAGAAAAGGAAGAAGAAGATGGCAACGACAGAAAAAAGCTGCCAGTGGCCCCCACGAATTGGGTGTCCAATGAAATGTCCGAGACCCAAAGACCAACCTTTTTTCGCTGTGTTGCCCACTTTTCCTCTCCCAATCTCTCTCTCTCTCTCTCTCTCTCTCTCTCTCTGCCATATTGTACATCATACAAAATAATAATAATAAAAATAATATATTTGTGGGAGGTGGGTCTTCTTCATGGTGGAACTGGAACATTGCTTGATTGCTTCGCTGTCTTCTGGGCTGGAAGCTTTTCTTAATATTGCTTGGTGTGATTTTGCGAGCATGGGATTGTGATTTCCAGGAAATGTATTAGCTTTCGATTCATGTCTGTTTGCTTTTCTATTAACGGTGAAAAGTACAGTACACTGGCTGCTCTTCTGTGAACCAATAGTTTCCGGCACAATCTTCTATGATTTTTCTAATAATCTTTGTTGGGAGCCGAACCCAATTATATAAATATTGTAAATGATTTTATTCAATATATTTCAAATAAGGGCAGATCAAATATTTACAAAGGAGAAATGAATCTTTTCATGGGAAAAAATCTTTTTAACAAAAATATATACATTTGCATGTAAGATATTTAGGCTGAAAAATAAATTTAAAATGTATTAAATTTTAGGCGCTAACTTTTTTGATATGGAGGCTTTAGGTACCATTCTCACTATATATTCCCATGTGTTTCAATGTTTAATATAATTACGTTTAGAAATATATTGTATTAAAGTAATCTGGTTCAATAGTATTCAGCCTCAATTTAGATTTAAAATATAATTTTTTTTCCAAAAAAATTATCATGTTTCAAAATATAGATTAAGTTATATTTAAGTGTTCGCCGGCGCATTATTAATTTTTTTTCTTCACAAGTTTGATGAATTGTTTAACTTTTTATTTTATTTCGACATGTGTGAAGTTTTTGCAAACATAACTTACCGATGGATTCAAAGCACCGGCGACTGTAACTTGATGGAGTATGACTGCATTTGGTGTAACGTAATATTTTCCTGTCTGTTATTTGTAGTTCTGAATTTCTGTAACAATTCAGGCCAAAAAACAAAAACAAAAACAAAATAAGAGTTTCCGTAACAAAGCACGTGCTGTGCTTTGCTGGGAAATTGGGAATACCCATGCGTTCCTATAGTACTGGTTTTTTTTTTTTTGGCCCAAAAATAGTACTTGTCTATACTATGGCAGTAACTCGGATAAATATACAGAGAAATTGCTAGAGACCATACGTCAAGACATTTGGTGAACATAGTGAAAAATTCTCCCACGAAATCCAGCCAAAAATATAGACCGAAAAAATAAAAGTAAAGGAAAGGCAACATGGAAGACCAACCATATATTTTTGCCTCTTGCTTCTTGTTAACAATTTCCCCTAAAAATATAATAAGATCGATTTCGTAAGGATAAATGGGAATTGACGAATTGTCATCATGCTATGTATGGCCCATAAGCCACATGTCCAAATACTTGTTCTAGATGGGTTGGTTTTCTCGGCCTTATTAAAGATTATGTCCAGTGAAACCCATCATTTAACTTGGCCCATTTCTTTTGCCCGTGAGAAAGTTCATTATGTTCATTTTTCAGCCCAGTCTAGAGCCGCGTTTCCCTGCCAACAGCCTTATCTTCAACAACAGAATTTTAAAAGGCACACTAACGTTAAAGCCCCAAACCAACAAGTCTATGACAGATAGATTCTCAATAAATTTTTTTAAAATTTAATTATAAATTTAGATAGTTATAAATTTAAGAATTTTAACTATAAACAAGACATTTAAATTTTAAATATAACTCTCAATTTATAATTAAAATTTTTGTTTGCAACTATTTGAATAAATATTTACAATTTATTTTTTTAAAAAATTTATTGTAGACTCAACTATTATAAATTCTAAGTTTTAGGACTTCATTGTCATTTTTTTTTTTTTTTGGTTGCTCACTTGTGTTCTTCTATTAAGAACAATTATATTCGAAATACAGTTAAATATTAAATGTGAATATATTTTCTTATAGATGTTTAAGATTGGTTTGTCACATTATGAAGAGTTGTGAGGATCAACTATTAGCTTCATCACAAACTTTCTCACACACAAAACTTTCTTATATATTTATTGTAATTTCCTATCAGATTCCTTAATTAAAACATGACAAACACGATTTTTTTTTAAAAAAAGCTGAACACATAGTTTTTCAAATCATAATATTATTATAATATGACACACATTATAATTAATGAAGGGCCTGACTATCTTATTTCTAAATCAGTTAAAGTAACTTTTTTTCTAATTTTTAGAAATTACATTGCCTGATTGATAAATACATTTAAGAACTGTTCTTTTTTCAGAAAAAGTAAAGATAGACTAAATCAAACACGCCCTTTTACTTATCAGTAATAATAATATGAAGCTTTTGAAAGTTGCGGGGTTGAGAAAGAGAAATAGCCTTGATAGTCTTGGCTAATAAGAAGTGGAAAGAAACACAAGTTAGGAACAAAATTAAATCACATAGGTCGAATCTCTCAACAGCAAAAGTATGAGGTCTTGTCAACCAAATCAACAAAGGCTACGGAAAAAGAATCTATTGTATATTTGCCTTTTGAGATCTTTATTGTCACACGAAATTTACGCGGGGCAAATTGCAAGCAAAGCAAAACCTATACAAATTCAGAGTTTGTGGAGAATATTTCCACCTGAAAGCTACCTATTATACAGAAAAAATAAAACGATGGACATATCAACCTCAGGAGAAGCAAAAAGGCCAACAAAATTCGATGAACATTATTGATTGTTGCTCCCTAAATGAAATGATGACGATGGAACAGTGTTAATTAGTACATGTTAACAAAACCAAATAATATAAAATTCAGAATCTATTGCATGAATCAATACTATTGTTTGATTCTGCCCTTCCTTCGTCGTGTTCTGTGAATGATCTTGCTTTAGGGTGCAAGTGCAAATTGTAGTTGCCTTGCTTACCCACTTTTATTTGCGTGTCATTTTTTGAATGAATGACGGTGTAAAGTAAAAAAGAAAATCATAAGGTAACAAGAGTGGGATTTATGTAGAATTTGAATGGAAAATATAACTTTAAGTCCTAATACTTTGTTTGAGTTTTGTTATAAGTTCCTGTATTTTTTTCGGTATTCTAAGTCCCTGTATTTTTATTTTTCAGTATTCTAAATCCCTCCATAAGTGATATTGTAAGGACTTAAAATATCAAAAACAAAAGAGTAGGGAATTAGAGCACTGAAAAAAAAAAATACAAGAATTAGCACAACTTGAGCAAAGTACAAAAATTTAAAGTTATGTTTTTTCAATTTAAATTCTCTAACTGTAATGCATTAAAAGAGGGGAAAAATAAATGGGTAAGAACAATTGAAAGACAATACATCATTGCTACAGCAAGAAACAGTCTCATTTTGCGACTCAAACATATGCGCAATACGGACTTTCAAGTTCCAGCTAAAACCTGTCTTTAATATCACTTATTAGGGATAAGAAGTGACTACTTGATAACATAGACAGATAAAAAACAGGTCAAGAAGAGTTGGAATAACACTACATCTTAACTCAAAATTTCAAGACTCAAATTTATAAATTTTTTAACTTTAATATATATTAGTTGTTAAACTCAATTTCTACACCCTTAATTAGGCCTACTCACTTGGATGTCATAAGATTAATTAATATAAGCATACACGATTTTATTTGTGTCATTATTTGAATGGATGATTACAACAGTAAAAGAATTTAATTGAGAAGAGAAAGGGGGGGATCGTTTAAGGGTCAATGTAATGGACATTCAAAGTCTACTATGTTGGTGGATAGTACAAATCAAAGAAGTTGAATTTATTCTTCAATTTTTTTGTCACTTACTTCGTGTCTTTGCGTTGGCATGATACACATAATTGGTTGTTAGATTTCATCATCATATGCTCATTATTTACACAAGCATTATTCATGTGCGAATAAATTGTTTTTCCTTTTGTAATGAATAACAAAAAATTATAAAAGGCTGTGAAACATGCTGCATTGCTTTTTTCTCTCTTTATTACATTAATTATGATATATAAATGGAGTAAGTATAACGTATTTGCGTGAAAATTGAAACGAAAAACACTAATTTTGTCTCATTAATTGTAAATCATCCTATAATTTTACGTTTTATATCAGTAATATTAATTTTTTTATGCAATATATTTTATAACTCTTATAGACTGATATACTTTTTGCAACATGTTGCACATAACTCTGAAATAGAATTATTTCATGCTACTAGAGTGTGTCTCATATATATTTTCGCATGAAAATCAATATGAAGCACATTGCCTCGTACATTATAAACGATACGACTTCTTACATGTTTATGTAATAATATTGTTAATTATTTTGTAAATAATACAAAAGATTTCATATAACTCTCATACACTTTCTTGATCCTCAACTATACGTACGTACCTGCACATTTAATATGAACTTGCTCAGACCTGAATTTCAAAGGTGCATGGATGGCTGCTAAGGGTTAACTAAAACGAAAGATTAAAGAAATTCTGGAAATTATCACATGCAGTATTTTATAATGACAGGTAACCTAATACAATTTTAGTTGAAATATTGTCGTTTACTTATTGATTAATTAATATCAGGGAAAAAAAATTCCGTGAGCAATGACTAATATTTTTAGAGCTAAACGATCTTGTCAGTAAACAATCAATTCGATTTCAACATAATAATCAGAAGAAATCTGAAAAATACCGTATGCAGGAAGAAGAAGCAATGTTTCAATTTAGTAAACCAAAATTCCTTGACGCGTCAAATTGCGCGCGCGCACACACACGAGCACACATATATAATTGTTATTTTTGCAGATGTGAAATAAGAGGACTAGTTCAACCCAAAGTGATATGATTTGGCTTCAAAGAATATAACTTCAATGCTCAGCCAGTTTAGTT